ATTGTGCAAGAACTCATCAACCTAAAGAGCAAGTCTACAAGATGCTACGGTTATTACTTTATTCCAGATACTCTATTTCCTTTGAAAAGAGCAAAGAACTGTGAAATGCTTTTTTTAAATGAGTTTTTACATTTCATAATAAAATGAATTCTCAAGACTTTAAGACCAAACCAGAAAAATAAAAAATTATTGCAGGGGAACAGACAAGGTGACATTTCAAGACTGAGCAACATGGTTCCATGCTGTTCTCAGACAAAACAGAGACTAGATATGATAGAAAAAAATTATATTCCTAGAGAAATTTCTCATGTTCTACTATAGAACATTTTTTGAGAAAATCTATTTGCTGTCTCCTTTTACCCTATAGTACTAGCTGAATCCTGATACAGGAAAATGTGACACTTGGGATGACGGAATCTGCATAATTATAAATAAGTTAGTTTTCTGGCTAAAAGATAAAGCCTAATTTTTAAAATTTGTGGGTTTCTAAGAAAATTTTTAATGTTTATTTATTTTTGAGAAAGAGAGAGAGAGACACAGCACGAGCTCAGGAGAGGGAGGCACAGAATCTGAAGTAGGCTCCAGGCTCAGAGCTGTCAGCACAGAGCCCAACATGAACTGTGAGGTCATAACCTGAGCCAAAGTCAGACACTTAACCTATTGAGCCACCTCAGTGCCCCTTAAAATTTGTTTTTCAATGCAAATATTTCTAACACATTTTATTATTTTCCTATCTTCTTACAAAGACTGATCTCAACATATAGTCATCATTGGGGAAAAATAACTGCAATGCTATCTGTTGGGACACAGAACTCACTGTCCCAATTGATAAAAGAATACTAATATAGGAAATGATGCTCCCATACCCCAAACACCAAATTGGCCAATTTGTTTAAAAATACATTTCAATTAGCAACTTAAAATTTTACAGCAAATTTGGGACACCTGGATGGCTCAGCCGGTTAAGTGTCCCACTTTTGATTTTGGTTCTGGTCATGATCTCACCGGTTTGTGAGATTAGACCCGTGTCAGTCTCTGTGCTGACAGTATAGAGCCTGCTTGGGATTCTCTTTCCCTCCCTCTCTGTTCTCCCCTGCTTGCTCGCTCATTCTCTCAAAAATAAACTTAAAAAAAAGTTTACAGCAAATCATATCGTGTGAGTTTTTTTTTTTTTAATTATACTTTAGATTTAGTCACTGAACCAAGTTTCACTGCAGCTCTTTCTTTACTGCAGTTATTTTTTAGGGGATTTATAAGCGAAACTGAAGATCAATTTTGATTATGATTCACATACCAGACAGTAAATATTTCTTGAAGACAAATTATTTTGTTTGAAGAACCCAGAGAAAAGAAAGATTGAGGAAAAAAAAAATGAACAGTGCCACAGGGATATGTAAGAAGGTATCAAAAGGACTAACATATATGTAATTGGGAGTCCCAAAATGACAGGATAAAAACATTGAGACAGAAAAATTATTAAGAAATAATTGCCCCAAACTTTGCAAATATAGTGAAAGACACACATTTATAAATTCAAGAAGTTCAATGAACCTTAAAAATAAAAGGACCGGGGCGCCTGGGTGGCGCAGTCGGTTAAGCGTCCGACTTCAGCCAGGTCACGATCTCGCGGTCCGGGAGTTCGAGCCCCGCGTCGGGCTCTGGGCTGATGGCTCAGAGCCTGGAGCCTGTTTCCGATTCTGTGTCTCCCTCTCTCTCTGCCCCTCCCCCGTTCATGCTCTGTCTCTCTCTGTCCCAAAAATAAATAAACGTTGAAAAAAAAAATTTTTTTTTTAATAAATAAATAAATAAATAAATAAATAAAAGGACCAAAGACAACCAAACCAAGACACAATCAAACTTCTAAAAACCAAAAGTAAAAAAAAAAACACTCGCAACTAAATAGGAAAAGAGTGATATGTTACATATAGGGTAACACCAGTACAAATACCATGAGATTTTTGCTTTTGTTTTTGTTTTTTTTTTTAGGTAAACTCTACCCCAATGTGGGGCTCAAACTCACAACCCAGAGATCAAAAGTCGCATGCTCCACAGACTAAGCCAGCCAGGTACCCCTCCATGAGTTTCTTAACAGAAAACCATGAAAGCCAGAAAATGATAGAGCAACATCTTTATTGCTTTTACATATATGGAACTGTTATTATATATGTTTGTGTAATATACATAATCCATGTTCTATATTACACAGATATATTTATACCTTTGTGTAAACATGTCTCCAGAATACATAAACAACTTCTATAACCTCTAACCAACTCTTGAACAGCCATTTCACAAAAAAAAAAGATGAACTACTGCCAAAAAAAAAAAAAAATACACTCAATATCAGTAGTCATCAGGGAAATGCTATTAAAACCGCACTGTGATACACACACTGGATTGGCTAAAATTTAAAAAATTAATCATACCAAATTTTGGTAAGGATGTAGAGAATAAGCACTCTCAAACACCACTGATGGAAATGTAAAATGGTAAAACCCGTTTGGAAAACAGTTGGCAGTTTCTTAAGTTAAAACAGACAGCTCCTAGGTAATCCAACCAATCAACTCCAAGGCATTTACCTAGGAGAAACTAAAACAAATGTCTACACAAAGACTTGTATTTGAGTCTTCACAACAGTTTTATTTGTAATAACTCAAAGCTGGAACCAAATGCCCATTAAGAGGTAAATGGATAAACAAAGAATGGCATATCAATACAATAGAATACTATTCAGCAATTTAAAAAGAAAAGAGAGAAAAAGGAACTACTGATAGAACATGGATATTTCAAAATAAATTATGCTAATTGTAAGAAGCCAGGCGAAAAAAGACAGTCTATGATTCCATTTATACAAAGTCTATATAATTCCATTTATATAAAATTCTACAGAATTAGAAAGTAAACCAATCTATGGTAACAGAAAGCAGGTCAGTGATTGCCTAAGAATGGGAATGGAAGGAGGAATAAATTATAAAGCTTTCTGGTTTTGCTTTGACTTTAAATTTTAAAAAGGTAACACCAAGAATGAGGAATATGCAACACTTCAGTACTCTGATTTTAATTATAAAAAGTCCAATCTGAGAGGTTTATTTGAACAATAACTACTTATTGGCAGACACCAGACTTTAGACCTTTGTTCCAAAATGGCTTTTTCTCCGCTCACAAAAAAGGAAGCATAAAAAGTCTCCTGTTTAAACGTATTCCTGACACTTAAACACCAAGAGACGTAAGGCTAATTCTCTATAATATTAATAAGTATTTCAAAGTACTTCAAATGGCTGCATTAGGATGAGTGGGTATATCACCTATTTTTTACAGAATTCTCGCTCAGTTGGCTGAACTTATGTGTACATGGCAGGGTGTACATGTTTATACTTAATCAGTTTACCATATGTCTTAATTTGGGGGCAAGACAGTTTTAAGCAGATCAGTCCTAGTTATTAATGGCCCCAAAGAGCCCCAAGGAAAAAAAAAAAAAAGACAGTTGATTCTAGTTCTCTTAAAGATCCAGATCATTCTATGGCAGGGCAAGTATGGGACAAAGGGTTTTATAACATTCTGGACAAGCAGAAAACAAAAATAACTGAACTTTGTAGACCTCTAATTCATTATAATTAAGATAAGTCTAAGACATCACTGAAGGGCTGAGAAGTTAAATGATGCATCCATATTAAGTGTTATGTTGGAGGGAGGGGGTATTGGGAAAGAGGGGCAGCTTGTTGAAATCCCTTCAAATATAAACAGAATATAGATAAAAATCCATTTTATAAAGGACAATTGAATACTTTTTTAAAATCTGTGTCCTCCCTAGAACTATCCAGGGCTGAAATGAAATGACAGTAGAGTCTTCAATTAACCAAGGCATCTGAGGTGTGGCTTGTCAGATATTCCTGGCTAGTACATTTCCTTCTATGACCTAGATCTATCTTAAACTCGCTGCCCAATTCCATCAGCTCCACTTTCTACCCATTTTAGACTCCTAAGGTGTTCATCTCCAGCCCCTGTAAAAGGCAAGTTTAATGCTTAGAGTGACAGTTCTCAAGGTGCAGTATGGGTACCCTGGGAATCCCTCATATATTTTTAGCAGTCTTCAAGGCCAAAACTGTCTTCACGTTGAGATGTTATCTGCCATTTTCACTCCCACTCTCTCGTAGGTATAGGGGAGTTCTCCATAGGCTACACGCACGACATGAGATACAACAGACAGAATGCAAATCTGAAAATCCAGTTGTGTTCTATTAAGCCAGACATTAAAGAGACTTGCAACAATGTAAGATAATTCCTCCCCTAATTTGTTTTGGAGGATAGCTATTTCTATTTTAAGATGTCATTTTTTTTATTGTCACTATGAAATTTACTAATTTTTATTTTTAAAAAAAATTTTCAGTGCTAATTTCTAGTACAGTAAATATCTAGACATATAAACAAAATCTCCTAGAGATTCACAATAATTTGTAAGAGTATAAAAGGGGTCCTGAGACCAAAATACTTAAGAAGCATAACTCTTGCTTTTAAAGATAAATAAAAAATTCCCAAACTCTCCAGATACCACAATTCAAGCACTGAAGTTTCATTATACTGTTTGAAAAAGCATATAGAGTAAATACATGAAGAAAAATAAATACAGATGGTCTGTATAACTTTATACAAGGGCACAAGGGGTTTTGAATCATCCTGGATTCCTGGGTTCAGAAAAAAAGAACTGAACCATTTGTGTTTCTTTCAGCATCCTTAGGAAGAAGGAATGTAGACTCTAACCATTTGTTCCTATGGAAAAATATAATCTTCTTTACCTTGAGATAAACAAATGGTCCAAAATATGGCTGCCTATGTTCCCGAAAATTCACGTGCTGAAATGCATGTGTAACCCCAATGCAACTGTATTTGGAGACAGGGCCTTTAAAGAGATAATTAAGGTTAAATGAAGTCATGGGGGTGGAGCTGGTAAGACGGGTGTTCCTGTAAGAAGAGGAAGAGCCTCGAGAGCTCTGTGCAGAGGAAAAGCCATGTGAGGACACAGCAAGAAGGTGGCCATCTGCAAGCCAGGAAGGGGACTTTCACCAGAAACCAACCATGCTGTCACCTTTACCTTGGACTCCCAACCTCCATAACTGTAAGAAAATAACATTTCTTTGGCTTAAGCCACCCAATCCTGTAGTATTTTGTTATGGCAGCCTGAGCTAATACACTGCCTATACCATTTCTGTGTTATAACTCCATAAATATACTGAGACGGGGAGGGATATTTTTAAGAGGGAAGGAGATGTTGAAAAAATATCTTCACAGTTTACATATCATAATTTATGTTACTTGGCCACTAAGGAGTTGTTTCAGGTTTTTTCTCAAAATGTCATTTAATTTTTATCCTTTGATTAACCTCGGGACAGAAACCCACATTTTCTTCCTCCTGGTTAGTGTCATGTCTAATATTCATACTTTCATATCTCAGCTCATGCTGTAATACACTTCGACCATTAGTTATTCTGTTGTGTCGACTAATAACCCCTGCCTCTCAATGGTTTTGCCTGATTGACAGCCATGATGTAGTTTCACCTACTCTATTCCACCCATAAGGCCACATGAATGCTTATACATGGCCCATTCATGCCTTCTTCCCAATTCTGGGATAGTAGGAAATTCCTTTTTAAAAGTCTCATTTAACTGGCTTGGGATTTGTCTTTGTGGCTCACTAATGAAGGGCAAAGTCCCCAAGAGTAGGCCAGCCAGAAGGCCCCACAGGACTGCAAGAAAAGAAACTGATTTAACTGCATCACTTTGGTCTCAAATGCAAACCTGCTAACCTTCATCTTGCTTCCCCTCAAACACTACAACCATTTCTTATTTAGCACTATCTTCCCAGTACAAAGCACAGGGTCTGAAAAAGCAGGTGCTGGAAAGGCGTTTCAGTGGAAAAGAAAGCTGAATGAGCACTGATAAGAATATTCAAAAAAAACTGATTTGGAATTACTCTACTTGTCTTAGAGAAATTTAAAGAAAAAGGAAAAGAGCACTGAAATTCAACCTTACTTGGGAAAAAAAAATTGAAAAAGTAAAAATGAAACACAACTGTTACTTAAAGTTTGTTCTGGAGTTGCATGAAGTAATATTAGTCTCAGACCTTTAATGAGCATCTAATATGTGTATCTAATGTGTGGAGCACTATGTTGGGTACCAACTCTATTAGGAACCAAATATAGGACAACTGTGTGCTTTCTGTCATATGTAATTGATGGTTCCTGGCTGAACAAGCATGTACATTTATACAGAACAGGAAATGTGGTTTTCACCATTCAGAAAATGGAGTCATAAACAAATGGTACCTCTGCTTTCATAATATACCATTTATGCCTCTTTGAACATTCTTGGGAAGAAACATGAACTCCAATAACTTATTCCTGTGAGAAAACACTATTTTCTGAACACTGAGGCTTCCTAGGAACAATTGTGACTCAAGGAGAGGAATGTCTCTACCATGTTCCCATGCAATCCAGCCATACAGCCATTTAAAGGATTATTTCTTACTTCCTTCACCTTGCTGTTGTTCAAAATCACTACCTTATATGATTCAGAAGTTCAGGATAATATCTTAGCGAGGAAAAAAACCCAACAACAACAACAGGCAACAGGCCCAGAGACTTCTGGCAGGGTGGATGGAGGTAGGGAGGTAAATTGCCATAAATCACAACAGATTCTCAGAGCCAAACAGGGGCTGCCAAGTTACATTCCTTTAGCAAAAATAATAACAAAATACAGTGTCACAGGTACTAGCACAACTATAAATTCACTAGTAAAACTAGTTTCTTATTAAGCTTCTGTGAGGACACAAACAAAACAGGTAAGAATTTAAACACATTATATTATAGACATGTTTGTTTGCATTCCCGATGTCTGAAATACAGGTCTTGTTACCAGTTAAAGAAGTACCTTTATTCTATACCTTCATGTTAACACTACCCCTTTTAGTCTTGAATTCCTAACTGTTTCAACCCCACCCAAGAGACAAAATATATTTAATACCTGATTTAACACTGAAACAAGTTCTACTTGTACGAAGTGTGTATGAAGCGAGGTGTGCTTATTCCATTTGCTTGACAGAAAAAGAACTAAACTGGATGTAGAAATGAATAGTTCCTCTACTCTTAGGCAACACTTCCCTCCAAGTGTTACAAATGCATAATTGTTAATAAATATGAAATGGAAAGAATCCTATACTGACCTAAAGCCTTTAATAAACAAGATACAAGAAATATCATTTGTGGCCCAACTTTCAAAATCTCACTATGGCAGGAATGTGCCATATCACCATGTCTCCTAGACCTCAGTGATATCAGAAAAAGTTTTGAGCTTCTGTGCACATTTTAGTTTTTTAACTAAACATATTAAAACATCTTGATATTATATATTTTTTTAATTTTTTAATGTTTATTAATTTTGAGACAGAGACAGAGTGTGAGCAGGGGAGGGGCAGAGAGAGAGAGGGAAACTGAAACAGGCTCCAGGCTCTGAATTGTCGGCACAGAGCCCGACGCCGGGCTTGAACCCACGAACTGGGAGATCACGACCTGAGCCAAAGTCAGACGCTTAACCGACTGAGCCACCCAGGCACACTGATATTATCTTTAAATAAGAGTCACAGAGCCAGTGAGTAAGGAGCCAGGATTTGAAGGCCGGCAGTATGAATTACTTTGCACTATTATGCTACACGATAGTAGTCTTGCAAAAGGAGGTAGATTCATGGGTAGATCTCCAAATGAAAAAATAAAAGTATAAAACCAAAACTATTTAAGGAAAGCAGTGTGGGATAGGACCAGTGCTCCTCCAAACCTGACCGTTTTCAAAGAGAGTATACTAAATTGTGTGTTCATATACCTTTTTTCAAAATTTATTCTGCTGTATGTAAGCTTTCCAAGGGCAGACAGAGACAATACTGCACTCTTACTTGACTCCAGCTTTAAGAATAAAGCTTAGGGGCCACCTGGGTGGTTCAGTCGGTTAAGCATGCAACTTCGGCTCAGGTTATGTTCTCGCGGTTCATGGGTTTGATCCCCTTGTCGGGCTCTGTGCTGACAGCTCAGAACCTGGAACCTGCTTCGGATTCTGTGTCTCCCTCTATCTGCCCCTTCCCCACTTGCACTCTCTCTCTCTGTCTCTCAAAAATGAATAAATGTTAAAAAAAAAAATTAAAAATTAAAAAAAAGAATAAAGCTTGGAACAAGTTAGCACATAGTGAAGGTATGTTTTAATATACTTATTTGAGAAAGGTATTCTTTTAAAAACTATTATTTTTTAAAAGAAGAGATAAGTAGGGACCTGTCAAAAACAAATTTAAAAAATACTTGTTAACTGATGCAGTTTAAAATGGTATGCAAGAAGAATCTGTATTAAAATATTCCCTCTGGGCTTCTTCTCTGACCCCCAGTGCTGATTCCCCAAAAGAAGAACGGACCAAGGAGACATGGAACACTAATTTTGGTTTGTAATATTTTTAGTCTTGATAAAAATAAGAAATGAAGAAAAGCATTAGCAAGATGTAAAAAGGAAGAAATTCAAAATGAAAAAAGTAAATAAAGAACAACAAAAATACATTTGAATCCCGGTATTACCTGGTTTCTATAAAATAGACTTAAGACAAAGCATTCATCTAAAACAATTTTTCTACAATAAATTCTGTGTGTGTGTGTGTGTGTGTGTGTATTCATTTCTGTATTTATTTTCTCTAGTTGTTAGTTATAATGGAATAAAGAACCAAGAAAATATAAAATTTACAATAATGTACAAAGTCCTAGCAATAACCATTTAATTCTACTGAACAACCACCATTCAAAAACACTGTCAATTCCACAGAGGAAATACTCTACTTAAAATTCTGGCCAGAGGGCACCTAAAACACATCAATTTAACAAGTGCAACAAGATATCCCATGGACTAAAGAATACAGACAAACAGTACAGAGTATTGTCATAAAGATCAGAATTCACAAAAAGACATGCCATTTTATTCACTTAAAAGTTAGCTAATATTCTTATGGGGAAAAATTAAAATTATTGTAGCTTAGTTTTCGATTTTCTTTTCTTTTCTAGGCTAAATTATTTACCATAATGTTTATATTTATATTGAACTTGTCCTCCAATCAAATTTATAATCTTTATCACATATAGCAATTTTTAAAATATTTCCTTATAACATAAGTCCCACAGTCCTTGACAATCCTCAGGGCACCTCTGAGAAAGATTTAGCCATAAAAAGTAATTGAAATTGTCAATGCATCCTAAATACTTATGCTCATCAATCTTTCAGGTAAATCTACATAGCTACAAATACTTTGTAAAGATTTAAAGCTAAAAGGTTTATTTTTAATTCCATCAAATATTTGGATATAGTTCCAAAAGAATCTTAATGTATCATAATTCATTATATAAAATGAAAAATGGCATTAGGCATAAAAAATACCTGTGAGTGATTTAAAAAGAATGCCTATCACCGAATGAGATCTGCAAAGAAAATTTATGAGGACTCTTCAGTGTATGCAGAATGCTTTTGAGCTAGAAAATACCTCAATTGGTGAATAAATTTGCTAGACCTGATGTCAGAGGGATTTGAAAAAGAACTATTTTGCTGATAATTCTGAAATACTTTTCCATCTGACTCATCAGACTGATAAAATTCAAGGTAAATGATAATCTTAAATCTTCATAGTAAAAACTTTGCCATCAATTTACAACTTGCTGAGGGTTAATTTGACTATCATTAACCCATTGAAAAATATAGTGGTGATTATCCAAAAGTCTGGGATTATAACTACATTTTTGTCCACCAATAGTCACTGTCATTTCATTATCTGCCAAGAAAAGCTTCTATGCGTGAATTCAAGTTTTTATCTCAACAATGTTTCCTGAATTGGCAGTTAAACTGCAACCATGTACTGAACTGCAATGAACTGCACTAGAGCAAAGTTAGCCACACTGTAGTGAACATGTGCTTATTTCTACCTACTTCAAAACACTATCATCTAATCCCCAAGTCAGACTGGACCCTCCTTCTATGCAAGTATTTTTCTGTGTGCTTCCTCCAAATGAAAACTTACAAGCTTCTCACAGTAACCTGTACTAAGGAAGATGGATGTGAGGCTGCTGTTGTAAACAGCAAAGCATTTCTTATTCCTACTAACACTCACTACATCCACACTGAGTTTTCTTAATCTAGCCAGCCAATCTAGATACTGAAAGGACAATGTCAGTGGCCCAAAGGGCTTAGGTACTTAGCACTTAGTTTAAAGGGCAGAGAAAATACTGCTAATAAGTATAAAAAGGAAGCAGCCCAAGCTCATGGACATTATTTTGATAAATGTTGGACATACTCATTCCTTCCACCAGGCTCTAAGGTCCACAGCAGCCCCTCTAAATCACTGAGGGCATTCTGACAATTATGGAGCAAGAAGAAACCAGACAAGGATCAAACCACTTCTGCCTTTGAATCCCACTACCAATACCAAGTTAAAGAAAGATCTTTAAAACAGTTAGCTCTCTTCAATCACTCCCACTAATCACCATGCATTTTTCCTCTGAAGAAAACCCTGGAGTGGTGAAATGCTTTTGAGATGATGACTGTTCTAACAGCTATTTTAAATCTTAGGAAATAAGTTTCAGCTGTGAGAAATACCATACCCCCCCCCCCCAAAGCTTCCCTGCCCACCTGAAAGTTGGTCTAGGACAGTGAATGCCTAAGACAGTTGTTTACGAAACACTACCACAGAGCCCTGGCCATTATTTGCTGCAAGATCTAGGAAGGAAAGGAGCACACCCAACCCACAAAGATACCCATTCTCTCACTGTAGTTGTCATTCTCCTTTAGCCCAGTTTATGAAATTCTCCCCAGAGAAGCATAAGGAAGCCTTTAACTCCCTTCATCCCAGATCACTGGTTTGGCCTCCCTGACAGCACCAGGGGGCTAGAAAAAACTCTGGTCTGTCCAATCCCCAATCCACAGAAGTCCAGACAACTGGCTTAAATTTTGTTTTGGTGACTGCATTCTTGAAATATGTGGAAGGAATGCCCAGGAGACCTTCATTAAGCAATAATACACACTAAAGGAAAAGACTTCAAAGAGCCTTGTATAATTGAACTTACTTCTCCATTGTTTTTTCAAACTCCCTTAGAAGCCTGAATTTTCTTTATTTGGTCAATGAACTGGTTTCCTCCAAGTTTAGATGCAAGGGTTGAAATTTTTAAAAAATAAATTGGTTCATAGGGCACCTGGGCGGCTCAGTGGGTTAAGCATCTGACTTCGGCTCAGGTCATGATCTCACAGTTCATGGGTTTGTGCCCCGGATCCAGCCCTGTGCTGACAGCTCAGTTCAGATTCTCTGTCTCCCTCTCTGCCCCTCCCCCACTAGCACTCACTTTCTCTCAAAAATAAATAAACATTAAAAAAGACTTAAAAAAAAGTAGGGGCGCCTGGGTGGCTCAGTCGGTTAAGCATCTGACTTCAGCTCAGGTCATGATCTCACAGTCTGTGAGTTCAAGCCCTGCATCGGGCTCTGTGCTGACAGCTCAGAGCCTGGAGCCTGCTTCGGATTCTATATCTCCGTCTCTCTCTGCCCCTCCCCTGCTCATGCTCTGTCTCTCTCTGTCTCAAAAGTAAATAAAAATATTAAAAAAAAATTTAAAAATATAAATTGGTTCATTGTTCACTCATAAGCATCAGTACAAAAGTGGAGCAAAAACAGGTAATAAAAAACAGTGACTACTATCGTGATAGTCCTACAGAGTCCATGGCTCTAGGGGCACGTGGGTGGCTCAGTAGGTTAAACATCTGACTCTTGATTTCAGCTGAGGTCATGATCTCACGGTTCATGAGACTGAGCCCCACCTCAGGCTCCATGCTGATAGTGTGGAGCCTGCTTGGGATTCTCTCTCCTGCCCGTCTGTTTCTCTCAAAATAAATAAATAAACTTAAAAAAAAAAAAGTCAATGGCTCTATATTCTTCACATTCAGTAAAGAGAACAGTCTTAACTCACAAGTGACTATGCATTTTCTGACTATGACAGAGAGAAGTATGTAGCATGATTAAACTTGTGTCAAATGTTTTCTATCTCCTTCTAAGGTTTCCAAATGCCATTCTTAACTCACTCATCCCCTTACTCAATTCCTTTTGTCTAATCAGTCCTTTTGTCTACTTGCCCCTTCCAAACCCAACTCCTCCATCTTATGACCTCATACATCAGTGTCCTGCTCCCCAAACTAAACTAACTTCTCAAAGATTTGCAAGACTCAAGGTATGACCATTTTGGAAATCTCTGCCTTATCAGTTTCCCCCTTTACCTTAAATCTCTACATTTCTCTCATCTTCATCACTAATTCTCTTAAGTCTCAATTTTCCCTAAATATCTTTGGTTTCAAAGTCCTACAGGTGCTACCAGGACAATCACGAAAGGATTACAACAACAAATAAGGCTGCAAGGGAATCCTGACCATCCTTCCATAGATTCAGGAACAAGAACTATTTTGTTTCTGTCATATTTACTGCACAGAAACACCAGGGCAATGAGCAGCTTTTTTTTACAAAGGCCACCAGATATACAAGGAGCTGAACCACCACAAAGGCTCCCAAATTTCCCTCCATTCTCATTCCTGGTTTCCTGTGAACGCTCAGAAAAGATATATAGCTAGAGACTCAAATTTAAAAAAAAAAAGAAAAGAAAAGAAAAGAAAAGAAAAGAAAAGAAAAGAAAAGAA